AGGCAACGAACGTAGAACGCATGTGAACGTGACGAAGCCCCTGGGATAAAGCAAGATGTGCGTTGCGTTTGCTTTTGTTTCTCGAAACATCCATGGGAGCCTGCCTGTGGTTACAAAAGCTGCGTACACTCAAGGCCATAAACAATCTACTCACACAATATGATACGGACGCGCCCTGCGAGACCAAACCGCCCCCCGATGGGGTCTTGCATATCGCTGGCGCTGAATCAACCACTTCGGACGAGAAACATGTTGAAAAACCAAGGAGAAGAAACTACGGCAAGCCTTTAAGTCTACGGGCTTCCCCCGCCCGCCTACAACGCCGGAGGGTTGCCGACCGAGCCCTCGCCACCCTCCCTTGCACGGAGGCGTACAAAACATGCCACAGGACAACACGTTTACCTGATGTGATGCTTGGAATCGTACTCTGGATGCGTCTTGGAGAGAGCCTCGATGACTGGAGCCATGTGGAAGAACCGGCAGTAGAAGAGCGTGAAGAGGTCGCGAGGCATGCACTTTCGGACATACGGTAGTTGTCGTGGTCCCCTACTCCCCAGTGGTCCGTCAGCCTACGCTTCTGGGTAATCCCCGCAGAGATAAGGATGCCCATCACTCCGTACACGTGCTTCCGGTGAAACCCGTAGACTTTGGATCCGTCAGGACGGTCCTCCGAAGACCCGTACGACAACCCCGTCCTGGTCTTCTTCTTTCGATGCCGGGGCTGCTGAAGCGGGGACGGGTTGGTCTCTTCGGCACAGAAGTTGACGTACTTGTTGGTCTGGAAGTAATCACGCACAAGAGGCAGGGGCGTGGCGGCGAGCAATTGAGCATCCAGCAACAGTTGCCATCGGTGTGCAAGTAGTGCGCAGGAAGAACGACGTCAAGGGTAGTCCGCCATCTGTTTTCCCGCAAAAATATAAGCCTGATCTCTCGAGCCCGTGGTCACAGCCATACAGAGTAACACTGCTGTCACTGTTGTGTGGTTACCGCTATATAACCTTTCCGATTTCTCCTTCCTTCCTTCTACCGTCCGTGATGATTCCATGATGGTATTCACAGGCAACGAAAAGGTGAAAAAATAAAAACGACAAACAAGAAACACGAGTCAACCTAACCCTCGAAAAAATACAAGAAACAGAAAAGCCTGACATTGCCCTCCGCGAGTGTCCCGCCCTAGAATAATATACAAAAACAGAACACATCGTCGATACAAATTTCTGTGCGTGTCAGCGGGGATCAGTCTCTGAAACAAAAGCAACGTGATCCGCCATATTCAATAGCTGAATATTTCTACGAGTATTGCTACACCTCTTTCGGTAGTACGCACCTTCGTCAGGATGATGTCTTGGCATGCCGGGGGAAACGCCTCTTCGAAAAACTTGAACGGGAGCGACTTGTCCTTTCCATCGATGAAGTTCCGCAACACGTTGAGGTCGGTGCGGTTGAGCTTCGGGAGTCGAGCGATGAGGGACGGAGCTAGCTGAAACTTGTCGCCGCCCGTGTGCTTGTGCATCCTCTTCTACGCCTCGGACTCAACATCCTTCTTCATGCCGGCCGACGTCCAGCCCCTCTCATCGTGCGGGGCGGGTTGGGGCGGCGCGTCCCCAGCCTAGGAGAAGGAGAGAGAGGGAAGGGGCGACAAAACATTGCAGGGGCCCGGGGCCAGCACGATTGAACGAGTGAGAAACATATTCAGCCGAAACAATTTCAGCCGGACACCCTTGGCGTCATGGCCGGTGTGCGCAGAATAGCTAGCGCAGACCCGATGGAGCTGAGAGCACGTCACTGCTGTTGTAGTGGTACGACGAAGAAGGAAAAGATCGCCCACGTTACATGTACCTGTGGGTGCTCTGAGAGAAACGAAATTCTTGAGTGCAGCAGCTTCCTCTTTCTTGAGGAAATAAGATTCACCGACAGACTGTACGCATACATACATGCATGTCACGCAACTCTTGCTACTGCGCTGTACTGCGTCACAACTATATACGGCCAAACCTTTACTCGAAGTACTACATTTGCAAACGGACCCCGAGGCATTCACATTCATGGCAGCAAAACTAGCGTGCTCTGAACAGCATAACAACAGTAGTACTATACATGCATGTACACAATGCATACCTTGCGCTTCTTGGAGGTGGCCTTCTTCTTCAGGTGCCAAACACTCTCGTACGCTTCCCGGAACCCTTGATCCTCGATTACCGACGCCCTCTGGTAGTGTGAGTGTTGCAGCTTGCTCTGTTGGGCGTCCGCGCCCGCAGTTTGCAACTCGTCAACGCCGCCTCCCAATTCGTCGTCCGAGCCGAAGTTGGCCTGGTCATCTACCCCAGCGCCCACCTCCAGTCCTGCTGCTGCTGTGGTGCCTGCTGCTGTGGTGCCAGCAGCCTTCAGCCGCTTCCTCGTGCCGTCGTGATGACCACACAGACCCAGCACGCGTCCGCCAGCGGCTTTGCCACACCGTTTTCCCTTGTTTTGACCGCGCTCGATGATAGCCCGACACACGCTCGGATCCGCACCAACGGGAGACGGCTGCTGCTGCTGCTGCGGCTGCTGTTGCTGTGCGGCTGGTGATGCTTGCTGCTGCTGCTGCTGCTGTGCTTGATGGAGAGCAGAGCCCTGCGTGGTCCTGCCGGTGTTGTGTGTGTCCGCAGCATAGGGCGCCCTGTAGACTTCATTTGTATAGTCGTCCTCGTCTTCGTCTTCCTCTTCCTCGTAGTCGGAGCCCATGCTAGCTTGCTGGGTCGGCAACAACAGCAGCTGGTGGGTCGGAAGAAGCTGATGGTGGTGATGAAGCGCGATGTCGTGTGATTTGCGTGCAGAGCGCCCAGGAATCGCGCTTGCGAGAGCAGCGAGGGTGAAGAGAGTTGCTCCCAGCCAGGCTGCGGCCCTCACGTGCCTTGTTTAACCCGCCATGCATACCCCAACGCGGCGCTTGTGGGGGTGTGTGCACAAGCTACGCTGCAGACCTGCAGGTCTTTGTAGGCGTCCTGCCTGCTATACATCTCCCTTGCATTTGGTTCGGGATATTTTCCTTTTTATCATCCCCTCCTTGAGAAGACCGGGCTATTGAGCCAGAGTGATAAAAAAAATGATAAAAAAAAGTGACGGTAGCCACAGAGGGGTTAAGGAGGAACACGTTGTAAAAGCGTGTTATCATATTACTAGGAGGCTGAGGCCGTTAACATTCAATATTCAATTGTATGACGCAATGTCAGTGTCGATTAATTTGTTGTCAAACTTCCGTAGAAATCTACTTTGAAGTAGTACGTTGCTTTGGAGGGTGCTGTGGAATAAAGAAGGACACACAGAACTATTGCGGCAGTTTACAAGGTCGTATATGATTGGTTCTAGGAGGACATAAGTGTCGGTTCACGTGTAACGTGCATCAAGAGGAATGCGGCGTGACTTCGACGATGAACATGTATGTGTGGATGGATGCCTCGTCGAGGTCAGTCCTGAATAATGAAGAAGTGCGTGGTGTGTTAACCAAAAACAAATTCCCTCGATTGGAGGAGGGTTCCACACACCGTCCGACATGTCAACCCCACCATCATTGACCTTCTAGAACCATAACGAAGAGGACGGGGGTAGACCACGGTAGTCGATTCCGTACCACCAAACGAAACAACGGAATAATTCAACAAGACAGGGACATAACACCTGGACAAGGGGGGGAGTGGGATACATAGGGTACAGCAGTATGGTGTATGGTGCGGTAAACTTAGGAGAAAACTGGAGCGCTGAATGCTGCATGCACAGACTATCCTACAATTTGTACAAGAATAGTTTCATTTGCAAATTCCTCTCCTTCCGTGAGGCGTGCTTACCCCTTTGTCGACAAAATAAAGTTTATGGAATATTCTCGGTAC